TCGACCAAACAAAAGAAACCAACATCCCAATCCCACACCAAGACCTTCTAGCTTCAACGACCAAAGCGGAAAGAGAAGAATAGAACAGAATTTGGACTACGACAAATAGAACCAAAATACATGACATAGCACACCATTTCTATCAAAAAATACCAAATAACAATCTAAGCAGAAAAGAAAGGATAGCTCTGACCAGGCTTCGAATAGGACACTCCAAGATCACACACGAATACCTATCAAAACAGAACCTCCTTTCTGCCACACCTGCAACCTCAAGTCACCACCCAGCACCTACTACATGAATGCAGAAAATACCGAAGCATAAGAAGTAAATATGGAATAAACGAAAACACCGCTCTAAACTGCCAGAAACAACAAAAAAACGTTATCAACTACCCGTTATCAACTAAAGGAGACCCAACTACTAGACCAGTTATAAAGAGTCAATTTTGACATGTCGCTCGTAGTCGATGCAACGCTAAACCCCATTTAAAAAAAAAAATAAATAAATTAAATAAGAATTTGAATATTAAATACCTTGCTTTTGATTAAATTTTTAAATTAAACATTTAAGACATTTTAATTATTTTTTTAAATAAAGAAAGACTAGAAAATGTAGAAATTTATAATGTGTTAATCTCTGCATATTTTTTGATAAATATATTTACTTTCAATATTTTTGACCAGGAAACCATTCCATTAATAGTAGAACATATGCTAATATAGAAAATCTATTTCACAGAATGTGTATCCAAACAAAATAAAATATATCCAAAAATATTCTTTCCACTTATATAAAAACTTTCTTATTGCAGGATATATTTTCGGAAACAAACAGTATTTTACAGTTTTCGACAACAAAATCCTTACTTTTCTATATGCTTCTATAAAAAAACATTTTTGGAAAAAAGAACTCAAATAGTTAGTAAAGTAGAGGTTCTTTAAAATAAGACCAACTGGATTGTGGTATGATTCTGTTTAAAGAAGCTTAAACAGTTTAATCGATAATTTTTCAAGTTAAAATTGTGGTAAGCAAATTTCCTGAATTATTGTGGTGTAGACAAAAAGTTAAAACCTTGAACTATTCGGTGAAGTTCTGGTTGTATACAATCATTCGTAAGAAAGGTGAGACTGTTCAATTTCTTTATGCCGATTAAAAAAAATTCCTAACTTTTATATTTTACTTTTAAGTATCTACTGGAAATTATACTATACAATTATATACTATATTAGATAATCTTCTAGAATTTTTATTAATCAAATATAAAATAACTGTTGAAACTGAAATCTTTAAACATAAAAGAAATTGACTTAAAACAAACAAAAAAAGGATTTAAAAGTTCAATAAATATCTTTTAATTATAAAAGTTAACAGTTTCATTAATAATTTCATTGTCAATTTCTGCGAAATTTATATCAAAAAGCAATTCTACACATTTTTTTAAATGTTTTGGCGCGGTTGCAGATGATTACTTCGGCTCAACAGAAAATAATATCTTAGACTATGTATGATAAAATACCTTAGACTACTATGTATGACCGAAATAGAATTTTCCTCATCGATAATTGTTGGGAGCAACCAAATTAGAACTTCCTTCATTGGTAAGTTTCTTTGATAATATTTAATAATTATTTTCTAATCCTATTTTTTGTTATACTTTTTATAATATAATTGTTTTAATGATTAGTTAGAATAATTATTTTCCAATCCTGTTCCTTATTATACTTGTTACAATAATTATTTTCTGACCCCTGCTCTAATGTACTTGTTAAAATAATTATTTTCTGATCGTGATCGGTATTGCAGGCAATACTGCGAAGAGTTCTTTCGAGTTTTAGATACTAGTTTATTGCGATACGTTACATAATGTTTGTTATAATGTCTACTTTCGAACTTTGAATAAACATCTTACAAGATGAATATTCACTGAGAAAATATATTTTTTGAGTCGTATCTTTGATCATCATTCTATACTCTAAAGAATACAACAAAAAAATAAAATATATCAACGTATTATTTTATAATAAAATATGGAATAGAAAAATATTAGAATACTTCTATGTACATACTTCAATTTATTGAACATAATAAAAAATAATGAAAGAAAGAAAGTGGCAAATAAGATCAGTGTTTCGTAAAGATCTAGTCATTAAATAATATAGGAAGAGAAATTAGGCATTAAACACAGAAAAAACAAAACTAAAGAAATATAAGGGCAATAGAAAAAACCCCAAGAATATAGAGGAAATATTGAAATGTTATCATCTCAGTACAGGCTTTTTTCATTTCTTCATTACAGATAATTTTTTTATCATTATCTCAATTTGACACTAAGGAAAAAATTGAGTTGGAAAAATAAGGAAAAGATGTATAAAAATATAATGTAATAATATTTATATTATAACGTAATTATTTTTAAAGTGTAACTTTGGTACACTGGTTTAATATTAAATATCAAAAAATTTCTTAATGTCTTCTAAAAAAAAAAGAGAGAATAATTGTAATCAAAGATGAAAACTTACCAATTCACTATTAAATTGAGGTTGTAAGTGCTGGTGAAAAAGAATCGTGATCTATTATAAAAATCTATTGCTTCTTGAGGAAGATCGGACACTTTCACCATTATCATATAACGGATCTCTCTTAAGGTAGTTTTTAACTCCAGATCGAAATTCATTTCCAATAGCTTATCCTCCCTAATTTTTAGAAGAGTTTTCGTTAAGTGAGTTTCCCAAATTTCTGGCAATTTCTCTGCCCAAGCGGTAAATATTTGCTTTTCCTTTTCCTCGATAATCGCCTTAAAGAGATAAATGTATTATTAATATAATAAAGATATTTCCAACCATAAATTGTAACAAATGAAATGTTCATTTCTGTTGTATCAATTTTAAATCTTTTTTCCAGTAAATATCCCTTTCGGTGTCATGCACGAGATATGAGTGTTTTAAACACAAAAGATCAATTTCACTTTTTGTTAATTTCACAATTTTATTACATAAATAAACAATTAATGTTCAATTTTCCAAAAACAAATAATTTCTCTCAATGTTTGCCAAGATTTTTAACTATCTAATTATCTGTTTCAAAAAATATCAAATTTAAAAAAGCAACATTATAAAAAAAATATTAATCTTCAATGTAAGTTTTAATTTTTCAATGTAACTTTAATATTATAATTTTATTTAATGTTACCTCCAGTTCTTCGTATTTGCTTTTGAGTACATTTTCCATTTTGTTATTAATTAAAGGATGATCAATTAATTTGATACATTGCACTGGAAAACGAGTTATTTCATGAAGTTTCATTAATAAACAAAGGGATGCAGCCACTGGGGGAAAATGTGTATTCAGTGACAAATGTACATCTTTTGTCTCAAGATTGAAATTATTGTCGAATAATATCTGCAAAGACAAAACTTTTATAATTTACTTTTTATGGAATTTACGAAATAGTTTATTGAATTTTCTAAAACATAATAAAAAATCGTAATATCCGTTATATAATATTAATTCTTTAATAGCAGAACAGAACAGAAAAAAATTGGGCAATCCATTATTATATCATAAACATATATTATAAATTATTATTATATGTTATAATATTTTTAATTGAATAATTTATTTATTAGTATTTATTTAATTTACATAAATAAATACTAATGTAAAAGTTAGTGCTTTCAATGATGCATATCATGATATAAATATTATAAATTACATAAATATATACATTATTATTGTATTATATTATTATGTTTTATATAATATTTCTATTATAAAGTACACGTCGTATTCAAAATGATGCCTATTCGAAATTATGCAATAGATAATCAGTTTTCTTCTGAATAATTTATTTACATTTTCCATTTCCTGTTTTGCAACTTGTGATGCACATGCTGCAATCAATCTGCGTCATCTAGGATTCTGATGTGATAAATAATATTTTTTAATTTTCCCCATAAATAGAAATCTAATAGAATGAGGCTCGTGGCATCATGTTGAAAAATTCTTCGAAGAATCTTTAATATATTATTTCTAATTAAAAAACATCTCTATAGTTTAATTCAATTGATTATGAAATTTAAAAATAGATTATTAAATTCGAATTCTCAGAATTATAGGATAAATCATGATTATCATCTAAATGAGATGATTTAAAAATTTAAAAATATTATATTCAATTTTTTATATAACGAATAATAATTTTTATATGAAAAACTGTTATTCGTTTCAATAAGATTAATAATAAAAAATCGTAATATCCGTTATATAATAATTGGTTGTTTATTAAATTCAAAGTATTATTCTTATTATCTTACTAATTATTAATTGACAAGTAACATAAGTTCAAAATTAGGAGAAATGAGTTTATTATTTACTATAGAAATAGTAAGAATTATACTTGTTTTATTTACCAATTTAACTTGCGTATATTTTTTTATGTTAATAAAAAATAAAAATCAAATTTTAGTAAGTAAATTATTCGTTATTTTATCATTAGTTAGTTTATTAGTACTATCGCATATAGATTTCCTTCAACTTATGTTATCATAATTATTATTATTTCATTTTATTTCTTTTGTTTTTAATTCATTATATAGTATTATTATAAAGTATTATAAAATATTGCACGAAAATCCAATTTTCACAACATTGAAAAAAGATACCTAATTCACTAGTCAGCCAAAGAGCTAAATTATAAATAAAATTTAATTTATTAACATGGAAATCACCTTAATGTTACTAAAATGTTGATCTACCCTCTGAATTATTTCTTCATAGTTGTGCCATAATTGCGCCATTATTATAGGTCTATTGGCAATTACATTCATTATCCAGACAAATTTAAAGAATGACTCTAGGTTGTGACATTCCGCAAATGTTTGGTCAAAAATGCTTGCCAATCGTCGATCGAACTGCTCTATCTTTTATATCAAGAAGTATTTTAATTAATTAAGAGTAAATTATACAAAGTGCATTTAAAAAAAGAAAATATCCAAAGAAAGAATTTTTTTAAAATATTACATATAATATTACATATATAGAGTCATTCACATAATTGATAATAATCTATTTTTTTTGTTGAAATTGAAAAAGGAAAGTACAAGTACAAGTGCAATAATACATGTATAATTATCTTTTTGAACAAAAACTTTATGTATAAAATCCTCACGTCATTGTATCTAAAAAAAAATAGGTATTAGCATAACAGTTAAAAATTAATATATTTAAAAGATATTTTAACTTGTCATATAAAGAGACTGCAGGATATTTATACATTTTTGAGAATTTGAAGAACGCAAAATTTTACAAAATACTTATTATAATCAAGACGTATCAAAAATACGTTTTATATTTAATGAACTGAAACAAATTTTTATTTGAATCAATTTTTTACAATTTTTTATAAACATATATAAAATATATAGTCCATATATAAAAGACAAAAAAAATAAACTCAAGAGTAGTACGTCTTCTTTCATCTTTCACAAACTAAGTTTTACAAAATTAAAATTAAAATCTTTTTTAATAAAGAATTGATATATATATCTACAAATAAATAAATAACATTTTGAGCAGCAAATACAACATTAATATCCAAGTTATATATTTTCTTCTCAAGTATATAAAATATAAAATATAAAATATAAAATATAAAAAAATTATAAAATATAAAATATAAAATATAAAATATAAAATATAAAATATAAAATATAAAAAATTATAAAATATAAAATATAAAATTATAAAATATAAAATATAAAATATAAAATATAAAATATAAAATATAAAAAAATTATAAAATATAAAATATAAAAAAATTATAAAATATAAAATATAAAATATGAAAAAATTGTTGGAAAAAATATTTATTTTCAATAAAATTATCAAAATCTGTAATAACTTGAATATTATTCTGTATTCTTTTTAAAAAAATTGGAATTTGAATCAATATATTTAAAAAGTATATTTGTTGTTATCTGTAATATTGTTGTAATAATCTGTAATAATGTTATTACTATCTGTAAAACAATTTGTATGTAAAATTTTTATCTAAATATTCTATACAGACATATTATACAGTATTAATATGTAATATTTTATTCAATAAAATTATACATTTGTTTTCTAAAAGCAAGTGAATAAATTGCTCACCATGGCAAAGAATTCTCCTAAATCTGTAGTAAATTGTTCTTCTTCAGGCAGTAAAATTTCATAGGACACGTCTCCAAATTGTTGATACAATTTAACAAATTCCTCATAAATATTATTAGTCACATAAAGTAATGATTTCGCTTTTAAACCAGATATTTCTATTCTTTCTAGTTTCAAATAATCTTGTACCGTATCAAATAATGACTGTAATAAACAAACATTATATTGTAAATAATTTGAAAGATTAATGTAAAAAATAAAATGTATTATGCAGAATGTGACACAATAAAAAATAAAATGCGATCAAGGAAAGAGTATTGATGCAAATAAGGATAACTATAATATAACTACATATAATTTTATATATAATATATATAGTTATTATATTAATAACTATATATATTACTATATATAACTATATATAATATATTAATTTTATATATATTATATATAAACATAATTATATGTATATATAAAAATATTTATAATAACATAAATTTAATAATGAAAATATAATTATTTATAACGAAAAATGTATATAGTAAATGAAACAAATTTCTATTTCTTTAACTGCATAAATATCTAGTTGGTTTATCTAGCAGTCCAGTTGCTTTATTTCAAAAATTAATTTAAATGATGTATTTGAATAAATTATATATCATTTCAAATTGTTACTTTTCATTTTTAGTTTAAATACAATTTATCCAAACTTAGATTAAATTTTCTTTTGTAATTTCTTAATAAAGATTGTACACTTTTTAAATAAAATAAACGTTGATGATCAAAAACAATTCTCAACATATTTTTCACCAATTTCACTTATTCAAATATATTATTTTTCAACAAACCTCGATTTCCTTAAGCCTCTTCTCGAACATATGAATTCTTTCAAGAACTAACTTCTCGTGAAATGACCAAGGTATAGGTTCTTGCGATTTAAAATAACTTTCCACCTTCTCTTTAAATGATCGAAACAATTCTTGATAATTACTGAGAATCGGTATTACCTCTGCTATCTTCACCTTATTTTCTTCGATGTCTCCATCAAATAAAGTCGACGGATTTATATGTTTCACTGCCTAGAGAAAGATATTCAAATGAAAAAAACATTTCTATTCTATTTTAATCTTTCCACGCAATTATTTTCAAAAGTATTCATTATTATAGAAAATGTTTCAAATAAAATTTACTACATTTCGAGAAAAATACTTTATGATACACTGGATTTATCAAGGTCATCTCTATTTCTCTAAATGGAATATTTTTTATGTTTATTTCAATCGATAAAGTTTTCGTATAAAGAAAAGTATTACTTATATATTAAAAATTATTAATTTAGGAGATATTTTCATTATAACTGAAATTTTATAATTTTCATAAAAAAAAAAAATCTATCTTGTGAAAGACAGAAACGATATTTTTATATTCATACCGTTTTTGTCTTTCATGTAATAGATTTTACAAAATTTAAGGATTAAAATATCGCCTAAATTAATAATTTTTCAACATACATAGATTAATTACTTTTTTATAGAGAATGTCAAGCTTTATCGATTAATGCATAAAATAAGTATGATTTTGTTTCAGTTGAAGCGATCTTGAAATCTTGAAAAAGTTTCTACCTAAACAAATCTAGCAGTTATCATAATATATTCTCATCGAAACAGAAGATGTTTTATTTTGGACATTTTTTAAAAATATTTTTTTTATTTCACGAATAATAAAGATAATTGCGTGAAAATATTAAAATAGGACATCTAATATAAAATGTTACAAGAATTTAAGTTAAGTTAACTTTGAACATTAAGATTAAATGACGAAATGTTAAATGACAAATTTCTTGAATTTTTATCGTTTAATTGTAATATTCAAAATTCAGTGAAGTAATGAAAAAAGAAAAATTTTACAGAGAAAGGAAGACTTTATTTTTCAAAATAATCTAAGCACGACAAAAAAATTTTAATAGTTTCAGAAACGTTTGAATTTTTACAATTTTCGAGAAAACACTATCCTCATTTTTTCATCTGCTACACTGATGTAAAATCATCTTCGATGGAGAATGACGAATTCAGTACTTAAAATAGAGATTCTATTGCTTTAAAATGAGATAAAGTGGATTGTCGTGTGATTTTCTTTTACAAAATTATAACAGTTTAAATCGTCGATCATTTTTCATCGTTATTGGTTCAATTATGTTTTTCACTTAATTATATTTCAACTTAAATGTTGTAATTTTTGACATTTTCTATTAGCAATAAATGTATCATAATTTTATTGTTAGAATTAAAATTTATACAATATAATAATTTAGACATGTTTATACAATAAATTAAATACCTGAGAAATCAATAAATTTGAAATTTCTCGTAACAGAGCAATAATTCTTTGCAGGGTATAGTATCTCGAATGCGCCCACATTAAACAAACGCAGTGCAGTAGTATTTTTAATTTCCATATTATATCTCTGAATTCAACGTTTTCAATCTCATTGAAATAAATTTCTAGAGGTTTCAAATAAAGATTGATATCTCTTGTTTCCAATAATGCTGAAAGATTAGGGCAGAATTCATTTTGATTAAAATAGGAAATATATCTTTCAAGCACAATAATCTTTACTCTTTCTTTTAGTTTAAAAAAAAGAATTAAGATTTATTATTTCTTAACTCTTAACTGATATTACTGAGTCATTGAAGACTAATTTACAGTTAAATTACTTAATTCTACAATTTTTTATTTAATTTAACTTTATTATTAATATTGGTATTTTAAATACCGTCTACTGTGGAAAATTTAAAATATAAAATAAAATTAAATACATAATATATTTTAAATTGCAATAATCTAACATAAATCATAATATCTATATATAATCAAAACATATAAGATATAATATATCTATAATCAAAAAATATTATTATTATTAAATTATAAGTATATTATTATTAAATATTATTTCAAAACATCATAAAAAGATATAATTTTCAAACATAAATCTTTATATTTCTTATATTAAAAGAAAGAGAATGCTATTCCAATAAATGTTAAAAAGCAGTAACTTCAAAATTATAAAAAATAAAACATTTTCATTGCCTTTGAAACATCTTTGTGATGACTATCGTATACTTACCAGCAGTCACATTCCTTACTAAATTTTTGAAATACTCTGAATACGGGCTTTCTGTTTTTTCTAAAAATATATCCATCTGTCGTACTTTTGGATCTTTTAATTGAAAATAAATGGATTCCATATTTTTTAACCTCATACTCCAAAAATCTAACTCTGAAATAAATAAATAAATAATAAAATATGTAAAAATTATCAGTAGAATATTAAAAATTGTACAAAATAATATAATTATTGTACAAAATAATATAATTATTTTGTACAATAATAAGACAAAAGTGAGAAATTCTTTCGATCGCTTATAATCTGTCCAACGAAAATAGACCTCAACAAGTGATTAAGTTTTAAAATTCGTACCATAACACACGACTGAATATATCTTTTCACAAATTACGCGATGAAATAGAGAAAAATATATAGCTATTGAAAAAAACATCGATGTTCTAAAAACTTTGGGAAAAAACAACCATTAAAAAAACAGAATTGCAAAATTTGGCCAATATCGTTTAAATTATGTATAAAATATTTATTGAGTTCTCATAATTAAAAAAACTAAATGAGAAAATCATATTTAAATGAGAGGATCGTATATATATATAATCATGATAAAAAAAAAATAATAATTTTAATTTGAAAAATTGTTAAATTACCAGAGACAGGAATTTCTTTTCCATTCTTTGGAAGTATTGAGAACTCTATGTTCAGAATCTCATTAATCTGAGTTGCCCATTTTATTACGATTTCTTCTATGTTATTCTTTAATTGGAGTAATTTAGGTGAGTCTAATCTCAATTGTTGATTGATTATTTCTTCGATACCCATTGGCATTGGTAATAAAGTTTGTCCAGTTATTTTTCCTTTTACCTATATTTTGTATAATAATTATCAGAGAGCATTTTAATATTTTAATGGGTTTAATACGTAAATGAATGCGACAAATTGATTAAATGAATCAGTTAAAAATCAATCAACGTAAAAATATATTTTGTCTATGAAATTATTAATTCTGTCTAGGAAAATATTTTATAATAGGAATGTATTGGTTGCATATGTATGTTTCATAAATATTGCAATGATATTGTTATTATAAGATAATTAATAAAAAATGTTTATTTATATTTTATATTAATAAAAACAATGCATTATTTTTAAATAATAATAACAGTTGATAAAAAATAAAGTATGAAAAATAATTGATTATTTTCGAAAAGAAATATTTTTCTACCTGCCATATTAAACTTCGAAGGTTGTATATTTGTTTCTTAACATCGTTACGAACTACTTCCGGCCAGCCAACATGATTTTCCGGATTCGATAAAATAGGTACGTATGCCTAAAATCGTTACAAACACCATAAAATAATTATATGTATAATATTTTGATTAATTTAATATATTTGATTGCATAATATAATTTTCAATTATGTATTTTTACATATTTTTATGTACTTCTATTATTTACATATTCATTTATATATGTATATTATTTATTATTTATATATTTTCATATATTTAACAATTATATTTATATCACTAAATACAATACGTATTTAAGACGTAATAAAGTTTTGGAAGATAAAAAAGAAACGAAGAAGAATAAAAAGAGAAGAAATACATAAATAAGTTTCTATATTATATTTTAGAAATTTATATGTTACAAAATTTTTTGGAAAACTATCCGATTTAAATTTTAATATATTTCAAATCAAGCTTGTTTATTAGGTCTGAACATATTTCGTAATAAAAAATATGTACGCAAAAGTTGTATACAAAGATATTAAAGGTCTAGAAAATACCTTTTTATATTATTATATTATATTTATTACATTGGAATTATTATATTGGAAAAAAGTATTCTAGCCAGATGTTGGTCCTTTTATACTATCCACGATACTTAAAATTTTCTGCTTCACAATCTGAAGAGATATTTAGGTGTCTTCACTTAAATAGACCACACTGTATAGTTCAGAAATCGAATATGTGAAATATAATGCAGGAATGAAAAACAGTACAAAGAGATTTTTATGAAGAGAATGTTAAAAATAGCTAGATATATATCAAGGTATGTCATGATAAAAATAAAACCAACAAGGGAAGATTCCCAATCTGAATTCAGAAAATTATGAAATTTTAGGGATATGCAAAACATGTACAATTGAGTATTACGCAAACGTTTGTTCTACGAAAGATAAGAGGGTAAAATTGACCTCTAAAAATTCTTCTATTTTTCGATTTTATATCGTATTATATTTTATTATATTTTACATTGCAAAGAGATAGAAAAAAAAACTTCAATTTAGTTGAAAGTAAAACTAGAATTGAAAATTATAAAAGATGGAACTGAATTATTGAGAGACTAGAAGAATCGAATTATAATAACATAGATATGAGAATACTAATTAAGAATCAAATTATAATAATACAGATACGAGAGTACTAACTTGCTAAGAATATTACAATAATTAAAAATAATTAGAAATAATAATAAAGATAACTGAACAAGGAATCCAAAATGAACAATGATTCCTTTCAGATTTCCTATTTTCACGACTAGCAGAATACGATGTAACAAAGAAAGGAAATTTAATCCTGAAAATTAAACTCAAGTTTACGATCACTTCTTTTAACAGAATCATCTATCAGAGCAATGACAATAAAGCAATTTTGGCTTTTTTTATATTTTTATAATAAAATAAACATAAAATATAAAATAAACATAAAACATGTGTAACAAATTATAAATAAAAGAAAATGCTAGATTTCATATTCCTCAATGTGTAAGATCAGAAGCATATATGGAGCAAAAAAAAAAGAGAGTGCAGCGAAATAAGCAAAATTGATAAAAAACCGCGAAACCAGAAATTTATCGCAATAATAAATAATTTTCGAACATCCTGTACATAGATAAGGAAGTATGCGATACCGAAGAGACATCAACACCAAAGAGAACAAATTACTTGAATTTAAACGTGCCGCTACCGACAAAACAACTTGTTGCATAAGCACTAGCCAGGAATTTAGGATGGACAACGTCAACATGATGCAAATAGATAATTATAATACAAAATAGATGAAAGCTTGAGTTATAGACTGTATGAAAACAAGAAAAAATAGAGGATTAAAGAAATGCAGAAAGTGTCTAATTTTAACGATTTGATTTATGTCCGTGGCGAGAAATGAATTATTATTTTGATGATATTAATCTTTTTAAGTTGATGCGTCCACATAAGGATTATGTGAGAATCAATGTTGTTTTTAATAGAATCATACATCTAATACATCAATCAACGTACCTCGACATTTTTTATAAGAAAATATTAACATGAACAAAAATGACTAATTTATTAATTTATTATTTATTTATTATTATTATTTCATTAACTTATTAATATTAACAAGAATTATTTAATTTTATTTATTTTAACTTTAATCTTTTATAACATATCATATGAAGGACAAGGATGACATCTGCATTCAAATATTGTTATAATCTTTTACATGATATTTTACACAATATTGATAATTTTTCTTTTAAATCTAAATTAATAATTTTTCGATATGCATATATGAATTTTGTAGAAAATATCGAGCTGCGTCAATCAATATGAAAATGTTAGGAAACATATGATTTTAAAAAATTAAAGATTATTTTCATATAATCTTTGCACGTATACTTATAAAAAAATTAATAACAGAATTTACACATCTCATCGGTGTCAATTCACCTTTCATTTCTTTCTATGGATAATTTATAATAACGTAATGTTAAATGAGACTCTATATGCAGAAATTAAACACACTGAAAAGGAAAGAACGAAGAGAAGAAATAAAAATAGCTGCAGAGACACAATTATTTCTAAATATTAAGACACTAAATTTTTGATTTTTGAAAAATTGTTAATATTTAAACTGTCATAACATAGTGGAAAAAATCGTACAATAATTCACTTAAGCTGATTTTAAAACGTAAGATTTCCACTTTCATAATACTGAATTCATTCTTTCCAAGAATGTTTTTCCATCACACAACAAATGAAAAAATGGGGATATATGTTTTTTCTTGAAAATAGTGTAAATTGAAACATTTCTAAAAATATTGAAAAATTTAAAACATAAAAACATCATAATACATACATAGTTTGAAATTAGAAATTACAATTTTGAATATATTGTACGTGGAATGTACATTAAGGAATTAAAGACCCATGTCTTGATATATGTGTAGAGATTGAGAAATTAGCAATCCATGTTCACGAATCCATGACCTCATACATATACATATAGTCAAAACATTTACTACTTTATATCATGTTACATGGTTCTAATTAGAGTCGAGATTTCTTCATTTCCAGCGGTACCAAGATAAAGAACGAAATTTCATGTTTAACTGCTCTACACGACAAAAATTGAAGAAATTATAATATTTCGTCAAATTCAACAAAATGAAAAAAAAAATCGTAAGTTTCGAAGAGTCGATTTCAATCTTTTTAATTAAATAGTGGTTTCAGAGACGTTTGAATTTTTTACAATTCTCGATAAACTTAAAAATGTGCCTATTAATTATAATTCGTTATAAAGTTCGTTAGTATATAACATTCAAAAGCTAATCATTCTAAGTGAATATCATTTTTTTTCAAATTGAAGAGCATATGTAATTATACTAATGACAACGAAAAATGATCGAAAAATTATTGATAAATTATACATTAAATATATGATATAATTTAAACTGATGTAACTTCGTAAAGAAAAAAAAAACCAATAACAATGCATTTGGTCCTATTTTAAAGCGAGAAACATTTACTTTTACACTCGTGAATTTGTTCGTTTCGAAGATGATTTACATCATACACGGCTGGGAAAGTGAGGATATTTCTTTTCTCGAAAATTGTAAAAATTTACAGACATATGTGAAAACATTAAACAATTTTTTTATAACTAAATCTACTATGGTATTGACGATTGAAAACTTTTCTTTTCATGTAATAACATAACTTGAAATATGAAGGTCAGGTGACGAAACGTTAGGATTTCTTGAATTTCTATCGTTTAACCTTAACATTTAATGTACAATAAAATGATGAGAAAAAATTACAATAAATTTTAAGAGATCGTTGTAAAGGAAAGACTTCAATCTTCAAAATGTTGGTGGATCTGGTTACAAAACAGATTTTTTAATATTTGTGCGTATATTTGAATTTCGTCAATTTTGAAGAAAGAAGTATCCTCATTTAATCATCCGCATAATATAAAGTCATCTTAAAAAAAAAAAAAAATAAACTGATGTCAAAGTAGAGATTTCACGCTTTTGAATGAGACCAAGTAAATCATTATATGATTTTCTTTTTTTTTAACAAATCAGTTTTAATTTTTATTTCCGAAAAACCGCAAGAATTTTTTTAGTTGCCTATTATAACAGGCGATAAAATACATGTGTAATATTACTATTTGAAAAAAAGACAGATAAATAATATATTCAAAAATTAATAATAGATATAGCATTTTAGCAGCAGCATTGACGAACAATGATAATATAAAATGATGAGAATTCACTAACAGTACTTTGTATAATTAATCATAATTAAATTAAACATAAATTGAAATTTTTTAAATTGCATACATTAAAATTCCATTTAATTAAAAGACAAACGTCTCCGGTAGTAGATTCATTTTATTAATTATAACTTCTCGATTAGAAGATAAGAATTTAAGTTTATATACAAATTTAATTAATTGGGCTATTTAAAATTTTGTTTCAATAAATAAAGCTCCATGTTAATTAGCATTAATATATGTTATTTAGATATATAATCCACAGTCATTTATGAACACTGACATTTTCAAAAATTAAATTTAGAAATTTTTCTGTATTTATTTTCAATTTTTATCAACTATTTTGCTAGTTTAATTGTCTTATATAAATAAAAAAAAAAGTAACGAAAAATCAAAGCAATCAATCTATACATTACATAAATTGAATTATAAATTATCAATGCGGTAGATTCATAAATTCAATTAATATTAAGTATCGTACTTTACAGTTTGTAAATTATATAATCAATCCAATAAATTTATAAATTCAAATAATATTTAATACCAAATTTTACAGTTTATAGATTATGTAATAAATTATATATTAAAGGTCATAAATTCAATATGATATTTCATAAATTCATCTGATATTTAACTAAATTTCACAAATCATAAATTCAATCAATATTTAGTACTAATCTCACAATTTCTGGAATCTCGTTACATCTCTTACTTAATGAGGCACAATTAACATTATCATCAAAATTTAAAAATTAAGTTAAATTAAATTAATAAGAATTAAAAATTAAATTGAAGAAATTAAATTAAGAATTAAAATCACAGAATTCAGCGAGAAAAGGAAAGGAATTTAAATTCGCTGAATTGAATCTAATGGAATGAAACCGTTAGACAATAGTTGTGTAATAGTGCAGGAAGTTGGAGAACTAACATCCTCAACAAGCACGGCCAATTCCTCAATCGGATTCGGCGCCATGTCACCCGGTATCAACAAATCCTTGTAATTGTGCTCGGTGACCATTTGGGGCTCCCTCTTCAAGAAATACGTCTGCTTTCTCTTGGATTGCGTTATTTCGAGATAGGGCACTAAGAGACCGACGGGTGTCAATTGCAACACGAGGACCATCTCCGATGCGGTACTAAAGAACTTTGTAATTACGTCCTAGAATGTGAAAGTTAAGAATGATTTAGTCGTTATTGAAAAGAAAGAGAAGAAATCTCATTTTTAGAATCTGTTTGATCGATTGTCTTCCTGCAGATCTTTTGACAGATACATAAGTAACGATCGTTACGGCTGCTTCCTCCTGCAACGTATATATTTCTTATCTTTGCTTGCCATGTACCACGAGAAAATAATTTAAACAAGAATTGGGGAAAAATGGATTTTTTAAATAGGTAAGTAGAAATAAGTATTTTTATTCTCCCGAGTGATACAAAATAAACAATAATATTGATAATATTTATAAATAATATACTTCTTTGAAATTGTATTTACATAAAGAAATAGTACATTTTTTATATTATATGTTTATATACTAGTATAAAAGATAATATATAAAATATATTTATGTACTATATATATAATATATTTTTTAATATATATATATATAATTTATATATATATTTGTATACATATTTATTATATATATATATTATATTTATATTTATATTATACATATTTTAATATTTAATTCATACAAATACTATTGTGAATTAAGTACATATTTCATTGAAATATAAGACAATATATATATAATAAGTAATAATATTTTCAGCAATTTTTATTTCAAATGGTAGTATTTCAAACAATAATATTTCAAATAATAATGTTACTTTCGAGATTTTATACTGTGATAGATTTTTATTGAAACGTAAAGCTTCCTCATTGTTTCTAAACAAAAAAATTTTCTAAAGAAAGTAATTTTTATATACTATTGACACATTTTATTTGTTTTAAGTAAAACATATTTTTCAAACATATTATCTTTTAAACAATTTTTTATTCGAAAATGTAACTTATACTTACCCTGCGTGTACAAACATAATCTTAAAAAAGAATTGAGTAACATTTGGAAGATCTGTTTTGTTTCACACTCTTAGTTTTAAACTCCTACTTTTCTATATTTGCATTCGAGTATAAATAATATTTATTTATGATATAAATATTAAGTGAAATATTACTTTCAAATAGTATTTGATTTAAGTATTAAATCTATTAAATATTTTCAAACAATACATGATTTAAGTAAATCAAATAATACTTCCAAATAATATTTGCTTATACAAGACATATTTCAATTTTCAGTATTTTGTCTCATACTAATTCAATTTTTCCCCAGATCAATATTTAAGTATACATATACAATGATTCCCATTGATATTCAGATACTTAAATTAATAGTAAAACTGTTATAATTTCTGAAAAAAAAATCGTACGACAACAAACCTGGATTCATTTTAAAACTTGAATCCTCTACTTTTAAAGTGCATCGTTTATTTTACATCAGCCGATAATCCAAACTTTTTATTATCCGAACTGGAATTCTTTAGTATCTGAACATATCTCGTACTTTTTATATATGTAGCCCATTAAATAAAATTCTTTCACAATATTTTAGTGTTATTAGCGTAAGACGTTATTAATAATGTTATTAATTAAAACAAAATGTAAAATTATCAAAAAGTTAAAGAATAGGAAGTGTGCAATAAATATAACTCAAAAATAAATCATTAGGAAATCAACGATCAGTAGTATAAAAAATAAAAAACACCATCACTTGAAAATTATCTATACAACGAGGATGTACCTTCTCATTCTAAAACATTCGTAGCTTTCAAAAAAGAGAATTAGATGGTATGAATCATAAAAAAGCATGCATTATTACTTATGTTAAAAAGTTCATATTTTTTAATGTAAATAGACGTAGATCAAATACAAAATTATGGGTTTCTTAATATTTTATATCTAAAATATATAAAATTTAATATAGAGAAAGCTATTGTTCTATTATCCCAACATATTTCTTTCTCAATTACTTCTTAAATACGTACGATTTAAATCGTACCGCATCTAATATTTTAAATCAAATTAAACATTTGAAATATTTTTTCTTTTTCTTTTCCTTTCTTTTTCAGATTATTTTTTTTTTCAGATTTTCAGATTATCCAAATTTTTATCCTCTCGCCAGAAATTACGCTATAAGATGATGAAATGTTTCTAAATAAATTATCCAAGAAAAATGTTTCTTTACTCATCCCATATGTCAGATACATTACATGTTTCTTTATTCATCCTGTTTGTCAGATACATTACACGTAATTGGAACCAACCTGACATTTCCCTTCGAGACTATCCATAACGTAAGATATATTTATGACCTTTCAAATAATAAAAATTTTGTGGATGAAAATTGAAATGAAAAGTTTGAACGAAAGTACCCAAGCATGACTTATGTAATATCATGTGAACCGACAAAATTATAGCGAAAGGAATGCTGTTTACGAGATGCTGTTTACTTTGCGGTAGCGAAATATTCGAGCAGCTTGTGGTGTAAAAGTAAAATGTAACTCCAAACATTCGAATTTCGATGCTTCATATTAATATAATTAATTATTTAATTATTTAATCATCAAGATTAGTTATTTACTTAATTATTTAATTATCAAATTATTTGTTTAATTAACTATTTAATTATTATAATAATTACTTAATTATTTACTTAATTATTTAATTATCAAATTATTTGTTTAATCAACTATTTAATTATTATAGTAATTAAACGCAGTGCTGGGCAAAATATTGTAAATAGCAAATAATCCTGTTCATTATTTAATACAGCAAGTTTTTAAAATAGTATTTTATTTGAAGAATATTGAAAATATTTGAATTTTGACTCGAAATATTTTATTCATTTTAATTTATTTATTTGCCTTTACACACTGTGTACTCAAAATTGTACTACATACCAGACTTGAATAAATAAAGAAATAATTTATTTTTTATTTTCTTTCAAAATAAAATTTTTCCACCTCTGATATATATCTTACATTGAAAGATTAATTTCTTTCAATAACTCGATGATTAAGGTTCAACGAAAAAATGATTCGAAAATACCGTATTATGAGATGAGCCAACATTTTATGCAAAATTGAAGATATAATACTTAAATTCTGAAATATATAAAATATTTTATTTTATGCTTCAAATTATAAAAATAAAATATTTTATTTGCCGAGATTTTATGTTTTATCTAAAATACATACTATTTTATTTAAATCGAACAAAATTAATACATATATGTAAGATATTAAGCAATATTTATTTTGCCAAATATTACGCAGCTCAGCATCGAGCAAATGAGTACAATAGAGCTTCCCATATTTGGACTATAAAGAGACAAAAATGTTCGATTAATGGAATTGGACAATAGAACAATCAGTTTTCTGACATTAAATCGCATCTATCTTTACATCTATTTAGATGCAAATCAAGAAAATCGTCCACTTATTTTAATTTATAAGAATATTAATATCTTTAATTTATAAGATTTTAATATCTAAAAATAAAAAAATAAATTTCGATATTTCAGAATTTAAGAATTTATATCTTTCTTGGCTGCTGAATAATCTAATTTTTTAAATATAAATAATCCGATAGATTATGTTCTTTTTGTGCTCTAAACCATTAAATTTCTTCTCCAAGTACTTTCAGTATTTGAACGTAAGTACTGAACTATGTCTAATCAGGATAAAGTGGAAGAAACTCTGTTGGAGAAGCAATTTTGATATGCTAATCGATCGTTGAAACCTGATATAGAGGTGAAAGACTAATCAAACCATTCAGTAACTAGTTCCCTTCGAAGTTTCCGGAGTAATGGCACTCGACCTTAACCTATTTGTAAACTTTAAATGAATATTTATATGGATATATGAATATATTTTCATTGTTGGAAAACTACGTCTACGATATTTTCATCACTCATAAACGAAATGTTGATTTATTACGGAATTAAACATAATAATCATATGTTCCATTAGTATTGTTTTTCGCTAAAATTTTGTATTTTGTACATTAGTAATTTCTTCTTGCAATTAGAAAAAAAAATTTCATACACATAACAATATGTATAAAAAGATTCAGTGCAAGAAAAACATTTATTACTAATATAAATACTACGTTCGAATAGTAGAACTTTCGAATACAGATTGCAGTATATGGATAATGAAGGTTCGGATATGAAAGGTCCTGCTATAATTACATTTAGAAAAGAAAGTACAGGGTGCACTGAATAACATGTTAATTGGATATGAAGCGACGAATCCATTAACGTTGTTATCAAAGAAGTACACCCATATTTTGATTGCTGTTATTATCTGTCGATGAAATCTTCAAACGTTACACTTTGAATTCTTTCTCCGTTTGTTACTTTGTCAGTACAATATTCAAAAGCTAATCGTTAATCGTGTATAACAGTCAAAAATTAATTGTTTTAAGTGAATATTAATTTTGTTCAAGTCATTGCAAATAAATATGTTGCACATGTATTTGTCTTGTTAAAAATAATGCAACATTAGAGATTCACGAGTGATTAGTACCAATTGTATAAAAAATGCTTTTGTATTAGTCGCATAATCTATCTTTTAATATCAACATTATCACATCTTGAAAAATATGAATTAAATTGAAATAAATACTTTTTTTCAACATTAAACGTATAATATGCATCATTTTCAAGTGTATGTTTTTCATTTAAGAAATATAATTGCTCTAATGAAAAAAATATCGTCAGAATAATTCCAGATTTCGAGTGGGCATTAATGGGTTAATTAAGTTTTCTTTAGTTTTTGAAAAAGCCGAAGTTGGAAGATTGTTAAATACAGGATGAGGCATCTAATATACCCCACTTAAATATCTTGATTATTATTGAGACAAAAATAGTAATAGACAAAAGGCATCAGACGCACATATAGGCACATAATCTAATATTAAATTCTTTTGATAGCTAAAAATGTAGAGATCAACTTCATTTTCCTAAATACAATCACATTTTTTTTTTTTATGAACTGGTAAATCCATCTCTACAAAAAAAATATTAATCTATTTATGTCAAAAATCCATTAGATTAATAGATACTTTAACTTTAGTTTTTTAAAATATAAAACACAAGAGTGTTCTTGTGTTTGTATTAGCCTTATCTTCCATATGAAGGATTTTAAAAAGTCTATTAATCTAAAATTCTCATGTTTTTTTAACGTAAAAAGATTAATACTCTTTTGTAGGAAATGCAAAGATGAACTTACTAATGTATTTAAAAAATATATAATTCCATTTAAGAAAACAAAGTTGATCTTTATACGACCTTTATTTCTCATATAAAAATTATTAATATCAGACAAGTTTAGTTTGATTTAGTCTGATAGACTTTAGTCTCTTTTTTCTTTTTTTCTTGTATTACCCATAACAACCAAGATATTCAAATGTTTTAGGTGCCTCAACTTTTGTTTGATTTATTTTATGCTGAATAAAAATGAATAATTGATGAATAATTATAAAAATAAGTCAAGAAATGTAAAATAAAATTATATTTTTCGTTTCAAACCATGTTTTCAGAAAAAGTAAACTTGAAACGTGTTAATTACATCACTGGATATTAAAAGCCATAAAAATTTAGATTTCACATTGTTTAATCTTGGAATTTTCAATTTGATTCAATTATATCACTAATCTCTAAGAGAGGATATAATTATATTACTAATCTCAGAGAGAATATAACATAAAAAGAATTAAATAAAATTAAATAACCTTAATTTTTGTAATATAACACAAATTACCGAATAATTGTCTGTGACTCTATGATATCACTTAAGAATTAATACATTCAAATTACCTTAAAATCTGCAGTCGATAACATTTTCGTCCATTTATCAGCTTTTAATTTTCTCGATAACGTCAGATAATTAAACATATACTCCAACCGTTGATCTTCCTCCTTTCTTTCATCTTCCTTCTTATCCATTTTTCTTATTTACAATTTTACATACTAACTTAAATGTAACATCTTTTTTTTATTACTATTAATCTGTTCTTTATTGTATGTTTTTATACAAAAAAATAACGATTTATATGACAGTAAAGTATATGGAGATACCTTCAGAGATTTCTCTTGTCATCTCGAATAAATTCACACTGAAAATGTATACTCTGATACACATTATAATGCTTCTAGATTTCGGATTGTCTTGATGCTAATCGTCGGACTTCTCAAAGTGGTCAAAAAAATGATTAACATATGTACTTTACATTAATGATAACATATAATAATATTAATATAATAATATTATGTATTAAACAATTTAATATATATTGTATATATGTAACAGCTATGATTAAAGTATGATTAATATTTTATTTTAATAAAATTCTATTTTAATTGTAAGTATCCATATGTACACATATAAGTGTATAAAAATTAATGTATAATATATAAAAAAAATATATGTGTGTATAATATATATTAAAAAAAAGATTTTTTAATTTTATATTGGTTTCATTGGACTGACCAACAAATTTCAGGTAATAAATTTCAGTAAATACATATTATCTGGCATATAGGATATTTATAATAATAATAGTTAGTAGTTGATAGCTAATATAATAGTAATTTTTTAGAATTAACGCAAACAATTCAGAATCTACAGAATTAATACCAATTCAGAGTCATTAATACCAAAATCATTAAATGTATACATTATTATTATTAAGATTCATGGACATTACTAACTGAATTAAACCAATAAGATAAAACCACTATTATATTATTATAAATTATATTACGTATAATTTACGTATTATATTACTAACTATTATTATATTATTATAAAATATGTTTATTCTTTTTTATATTGTTTCTATTATTTTTGTTGTATTTATTGTTACTAACATATCATAAAATAATTACAATATTTCATATTATCCAAAATACAACTGACATCTCAAAAATTTTAGTACAATCTTTTAAATGCAAAATTTCAGAAGAAAAATAATTTTTATCTAATTGTTACAATCTGACAATTTTCCAAATGTTCTCGAAACAATTTCTTTCACAATGTTGTTCAAAACAGTTCATCCGTCATTCAAAACAGTTGTAAAAATTTTTCATTTCCATCGTTGGAGGAAGCTGAAAGAACATTTATGAAATTATATAATATCAAAAGCAATGTCTTCCTTGTGAACATTCTCTATTCTATCAATTTATTGACCGATAAAATTAGGTAACCGATCTAGTGAAAGATGAAGCAATTGAATTTTTCTGCCGTTCGCCAACAAGGAAGTATCCTTAGGTTAACCAACCTGAACCCTTTCCAAATCGATAATTAGCCAACTAATGGATAATGAACTATAGAAACTTCTAATTAACTAAATTTTTTATCACTCCTTTTTTTTATTTTTTTTAACTCTAGTGTAACGATTAAATATTTGTAAATAATCTCAAAAAAATAATTTTTGATAGTATTTTTGTAAAATAATACACATTTTAGGCATAAATATATATTATGTTCAAAAGTACATCGAACATTGCAAATCATTGTTACTATTTTTTAAATGATAGCAAATTGCTATTACTTATTGTATTGCTATTACTGAATAATTAAAATATTCATTATCTAAAATTTATTCCATTTATTATATATATTTGCAACGATATTTTATTATTTTATTACTTTTTGATAGTGAATGTTTATAGAAAATACATTATACATAATATATTATATACACAAATAATTATTATATAAATAGTACATATGTAGAAATAGAAAAATTATGACAAATACTAAGTACTATAATACTTGTTTCATTTATCAATTTCATTTGCATACATTTCGTATTACGTTAATAAAATAGGATTCTATTTTTACATCGTAATTAAATGATGGCACTTGATTATTTATTATTTCTCTATTTACTATTGAAAGAAATATAAATTTCTTTTATATTACAGTATCACAATTACTTCCTGACAATAAAACTAGATTTTGTTCTATAATTTCTTAAACAATATTACATGAAAATATTATAATTTCTACAAAATTAAAAAAAAAGTCTTAATTCACTTGTCAATTGAAATCATATACATATAAAAATAATTTATCGAATGAAATATTCTTTTCAATTATTCTTTTATACAGTTCTCAAAATTTCATCATTAATGAATAATAATTCTAGTTACGAAAATAAATAACAAATTTTAATTTAATTATTTGCTTACGTGTAAATTATTTAACTGTAAAAATTTAATTACTTAATTTAATTAATTATTTAATCCGTGAAGAAAAACCAATTTTCACAATATTAAGAAAAAGATCTCATGAAAAAATATATCTGACATTCAGTTCTTTTGTTCGTTATTGTATCTATTATATTTTGATTATATAAGAATCATTTGCGCATATTCGAAAATAATAGGAAAGTTACTAAACAGATCACAGAGATATGTTAAATAATTAAATAATGAAAAAAATAATCATTCTTGTATGTGTTGTAAGTAGCGTTAAAATGCTTGGCATAATCAACATAGGAACTCTTTTCCCTCTATTCTAATTAGCGCATAGTCTTCTTCAATTTATATGCATATTTGCATGAATGCGTTAATCTATTTTCACTATTTTGTAAGCAGAAAGCCGTAATACAGCTGTAATAATAATTACTCATCCTTGCAAACTGTTGTAAATTCCTATTATAATAATCAATTAAGTAACAAAGTATTGCAAATATAATTACAAATATTTGTTTTATCTAGTATACAGGGTGTCCATAGTCCCTTTACAATTTCAAAAATTTATTACAAAGGCAAATGAAAAGACAGATAAGTGGAAATTTTATTATCATCATTATTATCATATAATCATTATTACAAAATGAGACATATATATTTAAGTTTTTTTTGCCTTATTTAATACACCTTTATATGGGCACCATTAGTTGGACGAAGCACATCAAGACGATACTCAATTTCTTGCCATGTTTGCTGTAGCATATCCTCATCAATGGTGGCAATGGTATCAGTGATCTTCTGCTTTAGATTAGCGATGTCTCATAACCCCATGTGGGGTCCATAAAGTCTCTTTACAATTTCAAAAATTTATTACAAAGGCAATTGATGAGATATCTTTATCAGATTCGTTCTATGTACTCAGTGGTTATCAAGGTTTTCATCAGATTGCATTTCAGGTACCCTGTTGATGAATAAGATACTGTTAAATGAACTCATTACAAAATGGCTACTCCTCAAGAGAAGGCACAGTGTGTATCATGGTTTATTGAAACCAAATTGGATCTGCAGACTCAGTGAAACTTCAGAATTAAGTACAGAAGAGATCCACCGTCACGTTCATCAATTCGTGCATGGCACAAGAAACTTATGGAGACAGGGACAGTGTTAGATAAAAGAAGGAGTGGACGACCAAGAACATCTGAGGAAAACATCGATCGTGTAAGAAATCAAATACCATCTTGATGTGCTTATCATATAGAGGTGTATTAAATGAGGCAAAAAAAAAAAAAAAAAACTCAAATGTATACGTCTCATTGTAATAATTTCCACTTATCTGTCGTTTCATTTGCCTTTGTACTAAATTTTTGAAATTGTAAAGAGACTTTATGGACAGCCTGTACATCCCAGTAAATATTGAAGGTACATACGAATTAAAAAATAGAGATTAAATAGAAATTTACTTCACTCCTTCAAATATTATACTCTGGACATTTTATATAATTTTACAATGACGCAGGATGTCCAATTTCTATTTATAAATACGAATTGCATATCCGTTATATAAAATAATGACTCAGATAGGAACGATCTGGTGCAATTAATCTTTTCGTGAATGGACACGTAGAGATCATAGAAAGATGAGATACGTTTTCTCAAATGGAATTATATAGTACTTATTTCATTAATCGAGTTCATATATGTATATCAAAAAGCTGTTCATTTAAAATTTTCATGTTCATTTAATATTTTCTTGCGTTTTTTTGTACGATAAGTTTTACAAAATTAAAACTAAATTAAATTAATATTAAATACTGAATATAATATCAAATTAAATGCTAAAACTAATATTAAATATAATGCTAAAAGAATACTAAAAATAATATTAAATTAATGTAAAAACTAAATTTTTTGACATCCATGGATTAATAATTTTTATACATTTTATATACACTCTGTACATTTTTAAATTACACATTATAAATTAATTAACACATTCATTGTTCCATACATAGTTGCACAATATTATCATTTTTACCGTTTTTTAATGCACAAATACAATCAATGTTTATTTGATTGAACTTAATGATTATATACAATTAATGTTTTGGTAAAAAAATATTGTGAAATGAAACTAATATAATTTAAAAATTATATTTATTATAGTTTATATTTATTAATTTATTATTATATATATTTATTCATATTATTACTTATTTATATTATTATTATTTATATTTAAAAATGCAAATTATAAAATGCTCAAGACCTGCACAGTAAACGTGTTAATTATTTTAAATACTATTTATTTATATTGTTATATTTGTTATATTGTTATTAATTATTTATATTGTTATATTGTTATATTGGTATATTATTTGTTAATTTAATCAAATATATTACTAAATATTAAATAATTTAATATGTATTTGTTGATGAATGAAGAGTAAATTAAACTTTCAAAAAATTGAATTTTAATTTGCTCTTTTCATCCGAATGAATTTCTTTAAATAATGAATATAAATAAAACGTGATTTTAATAAAATAATTTAAACTTAAATTTAATTATTAATGACTAATATAAAGAACCTTGTACATATTAATTAATATTAATAACTAATGTAAGGAAACGTGTATTTAATTATTTAGATACCAAAAATTCTTTTTTCATTTTGTCTTCTATTATACTCTAAACAAAAAAGTGTACCTATTATACTCTAAAAAAAAAGAAATCAGAAATCTAACAA